TTCCTGACAAGAAGCACCAGCTTAGAAGAATACAAATTGGATATGGTGTGCATGTATATGTATTGGGGGGTGGGTGCTTTATTTGCAGTAATAAAATGTAATTATATACTTTGCTGCATAAATAGCCTTGAGGATGAGTAGAGTGTGTCAGACATCCAGTTATGCATGTGATAAAGGTTAATACTATTTGTTCTCAGTACATTTAGTCTTTGCAAGTCATGTGCTGACATGCATCCTATTTTGATATCCGTTCACACACTCTGGTAATGATGCATAAAGCAGGAACTCATGCCTGTGGCATTCAGTAGGGTTTAGTAAATTGAACTTTTGTGTAAAGATCTTAGAAAATGGCAAGGCACAAAACGAATGTCACTTGCTGCTAATTTTATCTTCCTTCACGCACTCCTTTCTGGAGATTAAAGCATGAATCTATTCACTACTGAAAGTTATTTCAACTCACATGGCACATATTGGGATCCAGGAAAGCAAGGACATGTTCACAGCTATTCCTTAGGTCCCTCTGCTGGAAATATAACCTGTTAAGCTGGCAGATTTTTGCTTAAAAGACTTAAATTAATGAAATAATTAACTGATGAATCTTCATTAAATGCAAATACTGAAATAAATAGTACAGCAAGGTAATTGACTGCACATGTAAAGTAGTTGTAGCTAATTGACATGACCTTCATTTAATGAGCCTGCTTCCCATTAGTGGAGATGCCTGCCACAATTCCGTGTCCTTACTCTAGCTGTAACTGTTGGACTTTATTGGGCTGTGAAGTAGGTCACATCTTCCCGAGATCCACTCCAGTGGGTGACCTCTTTTCATGGCTCCAGCTTCACTGGAGTGCTGTGTGAAAGCAGAGGGGACATTCTTGAGGCCATGAGAAGGGATAGTGTTGCCAAAGCTGGTCTCAAATGTGATTTCTGATGGGCACACCTCATGTCCCGAGGGAGCAGCTTAAGGCTCTGGGGGAGGCTGCTGTGTATCTATGCTGTACATATTCATGGGTGTTCAGTGCCTGGGACAACAGCTGGACCAAGATCTCTTCTCCTAGAGAGGTCTGCAATCTTTGATGGCCTGAGGTGTGGCTGAACAGGAGCGCAGAAGGGTTGCAGCCTTTACTTGTTGTTTCTAGAAGGTGTGGTGTAGAGACCTGACTCCTACACCTGAGAAGGGAGGGAAAATGAGTGATGTTGTAACATCAGTGATTTTTTTTTTTTTATTGTGTGTTTGTGGGTGCACATCTTTCTACAAGAAGTCATGGCTCTACTGTTAGTCTGGCATGCAGATGTGTTGATGCCCTCAGAACGTGCATTATCAGCCAGGTTGCTCCAGTGGTGAGCCTCTGTGGGGAATAGTGGCTCAGTCTGCTAGCATAGGCTCAGGCATGGATGTGCACAGAAATGCTGGGGCATCTCCATGCAAGGCCTCTCACTGCTGGCTGTGCCCAGTGATCAATACCTCTCCTGGTAGTAGCAGGCTGGGAAAATAGGAAAATAGTTTTCTCCCATGTTCCCAGCCCAGTTCCCCTTCCCCACGGGGTGGCACAGTGACTGGCTCATCATCAGAAGGATGTGCACAATATGTTCATGTCTGGGGTTTACAGGACACTTGAGGTAACAGGACAGGCACTGTCTTAAATCTTTGCAATATAGTGAAGGTTTGGTGGTTGGAGAACAGAGAGGAAAAGGACTGGAAGCTGCCATCCCAAGTGTTCCAGTGACCTTATTGATGCTACATTGGGATAATAGTACTGCCTCATTAAGAAAGAGATGAACCATGCTGTTGTGGTTTGATGCTGGCTAAATGCCAGGCACCCAGGAAAAAACTCTTCAGCCATTCTCCTCTGCTACAGTTGAGCAGAGGAGGGGGAAAGGAAACCCAAAGGGGCTCATGAGTTGAGGTAAGGATTGGGAAGAAATACCTGAAGGGCAAAATAGGCTGAAAAATTAAAAGGTATTTTAAAAAAATCACTTCTGTGGCTGGCTTATTCTCTCATCAAAAAATCAAGCCAGGTAAAACCAGCACACATGCTTTTTATGTGTCAGTTCAACAATAGCTGAAAGGTTGTGGGATTCTATCTGTGACATGAGCTATCTTACTCTGCTACAGCATGTTGAACTAGTTGATATTTATAAACTGCTAATACAAATTGCTATGGTCTCTAAAATGAAGATATTTCCCAGGTGATAAAATACTACACCCTTGTATTAAATCACTTGATACAATTTTGCTGCCAAAGATAAGGACTCTGTATAGTGCTCAAGTTGCTGTCAAGATAGAGAGAAGAATGTTTTTACATCCTGCTTCTGGAGTTCAGCTTAGTCTGGGGCTCACTTGCAGAGCAGTAGATGCTTGATCTGTAGTTTCTTGCTGGCAATATTCCTTTATCTGTGCTGCTAAAGCTTAGTTTGACATGCTCTTCTACAGATTTAAATGGGAGGAAGAGGATTGGCTTTTAAGCAGTGTATCATCAGGATGTTATGTGGTTTATGCCTGTCTAAAAACTGTTGTTTTTCAGAGTCTAGTTGTACACAGTTTCTTGAGGCTTGTTGTGAGTGAAGCTGCCCAGCCTCTGTTCTGTTCTCTCCCTGTTCTGTGTGAGGTGAACAGCCCAGTGACAGGGGTGAAGGATGTGGCCTGCTCCAGGGTTCTTCTCTCCTTCGTTCACTTGTCTAGCTTGAAAAGCACAGAGCAGCTCCAGCTGGTCTGCTTACCTGCTGGGGCAAACTTCTCCCTGCTCTGTGCTTGTTTGGTGCCCCTTGTGCCCTCTCTCTTGTGCCCTACATGCTCAGAGAGACTCTGTCCCACAGATTCAGGAACTGGCCAGGACCTCTGGGCACTGCTTCCATAAAAAGAACAGGAACTTGGTTAGGAGCCAGAAGATCTGTTTTCTGTTCATTGCTCTGGTGGGCACAGAGTGTGATGTGAGTGTTTGGGGTTCTTTTCATTTTAAACAATTCTCTGAAGGGAAGTGTATAAATATTATTTTTCTGTTCCACTGGCTCTGCATTTGTATGTTAGCTGAGCCACCCATCTTCAAGACAAGAAGAGTTGTTTTATCTCTCATTTGGTAGAGGAAGACTAGCAATCTTTTTCCTTCTTTTGTAAATCACCTCTGTAATGCCTCTTTTCCTCTCATTTGAGGAAGAAATCTGACACTCCCTGTAGAATGTTTTTAAAATTCCAACAGGAAAAAACTGCAAAATACTAATGTTCTGCATGGTTAGAGCAAACACTATGTTCCTGTGAGTCACAGATGTCAGGTTTGTTTAATCTTAATAAATCTATGCCACAACAACACTATTGAACAGGAAGAGGGATGGAGGAAGAGTAGTGCTGGGTTAGAAAGGATTCTTGGCCAAAATCTTGTTTAGTGGAAGTCTGGAGATGAAGGGGCATGGGCATAAACCTGAACACTTCCCACCCTGCCTTCATTAATTACATCTTGGACATTGCCTTTCTAGTGCACATTTCATTTTATTTGTATGTTTTATGATAAATTGCCTTTCCCTGTTAAGTCATAAGAGTACTCATTTCCCACAGTACATTTGCTGGAGATAAAGTAAGCCTTTTTACATAGCACCCTGTTGGCAAACAAAAATAGCATTTACTCCAATGTGTGTTGCCAAGTATGAGGTACTTCCAAATGAAGTTCAAAAGCTCTGAAACATGCATTAGCTGCTTTTTCAAAAATGTGAACAATGCCACTGCTTTCTAGCAAACAGAACTGGTGAGAAGAGGGATTGGAAGGGAAAAAACAACAACTGGTGTGATAGATGTTGTAGTAGTGCCGGGGATCAGACAGAAGGCATAGCTCTCTGTCACTGCAGGGTTTGGGGGTGCTTCTTGTAACAGGACTTAGAGCATCTACTCTGCCCTTGAGGAGGAAACAATTTCTACCTGAGCAGCCTTAGCGAAGCACTTGGGCAGGAGTTCATGTGAGCTCCCCGCGGCTGGGAGTCCCGACAGGAGTGAGCTGTGCTGATTCCAGGCCTGGTGAGGAATTGCCTGACCAGCCCTCCTCTCTGGTGCTACCTCTCCCCTCCCAGTGAGGACAGAGATGAGCATGCACATAAACCCTTAACACCTGCCAGATTTGGGGGGGCAGAATGTGAGAGAAACGGGCCAGCTGCTGTATTTCAGCATGGCAGTAGGGCTGGCGATGCTGGGTTTCATGATGGCCCCTGGGCTCTATCTAGGTGTAAATAAATGTTTTAGCCACCTGAGAACAGGTGCTGTGGGGCCCTGGAGAAGCACAGTGGTTCTGCTGCTGTCACTTCAGTGTAGCTCTTCCCAGCTCTGTGTTCCAGCACGCCCCTTCCGTGCTGTTCACATGATGCAAGCATCTGTCCTGCTCAAATTTACTGCTCCAGGCCATGTTCTTGCTCTCTATTTATGTATACATACACCTTCTACGTTTAGATGAGAAACTGACAATTGGATGGCTTCTTCCTGTGTTTTGAAGATTGCTTTCAAAACACAAATGCAGTTTATCCTGGTGCTGCTCAGCTGCTTGTTTGTTTGGGGTTTTTTTTTTTTGTGGGCAGAATGATGAGCTATTTTCTGCCTTAGAGAGATCTTCAAAATCAAGTATTTACATTTGTGCTTGAAATGGAAGTCTTGCCTCTCAGAGCTGGGGAGCTGTGTTTTATTGCTGAAATGTTGTATTGCTAAAGAGCAGTTCTGCTTTTGCTGTTACTTGGAAGAGGTGTAATTGGTCAATAAATAAGGAGTCTCTGTAGTATCCAATCTAATACTTACACTGAGTGATTTTAGCATGTAGGAACCGAGCTGCTGGGATCAATGTTGCCTGTGCTGCAGCCTGTGCTTTTTCTGAAACTCTAATTTAAAGCACAGTCTTTAACAAGAGTATGCTTCATCACTGGTAATGAGTTGCAACTGCGTGCAGAACACCTCTGTAGAAAATGCACAGTGTTGTGAGTTTTATTACTCCAAACCTCGTAAGTTAATTTGTTTTTCTTGGTTTTTACAGTTCCACCAAGTGAGAAGAGTGATGACCATCCTTTTCTTTACTATGGTTATCTCATACTTCACTTGCATGAAAGCTGCCCCAATGAAAGAAGCCAGTCTAAGAGGACAAGGCAGCTTGGCGTACCCAGGTCTCCGGACCCACGGGACTCTGGAGAGCATAAACGGGCCCAGTGCCGGTTCCAGGGCGCTGACATCGTTGGCAGACACCTTTGAGCACGTCATAGAGGAGCTCCTGGACGAGGAGCAGGACATCCAGCCCGGCGAGGGAAACAAGGATGCAGACTTGTACACATCCCGAGTGATGCTAAGCAGCCAAGTGCCTTTGGAACCCCCGCTGCTGTTCCTGCTGGAGGAGTACAAAAACTACCTGGATGCCGCCAACATGTCGATGCGCGTGCGGCGCCACTCGGACCCCGCGCGCCGCGGGGAGCTGAGCGTCTGCGACAGCACCAGCGAGTGGGTGACGGCCGCCGAGAAAAAGACTGCGGTGGACATGTCCGGGGCCACCGTCACCGTGCTGGAGAAAGTCCCCGTGCCCAAAGGCCAGCTGAAGCAATACTTCTACGAGACCAAATGCAACCCCAAGGGGTACACAAAGGAGGGCTGCAGGGGCATAGACAAGAGGCACTGGAACTCGCAGTGCCGAACTACGCAGTCTTACGTGAGAGCTCTCACCATGGATAACAAAAAGAGAGTTGGCTGGCGCTTCATAAGGATAGACACTTCTTGTGTATGTACATTGACCATTAAAAGGGGAAGATAGTGGATTCGTGTTGTATAGATTATATTGAGACAAAATTATCTATTTGTATATATACATAACAGGGTAAATTATTCGGTAAAAAATAATTTTATGGACTGCATGTATGACTGAAGTTTATACAGTACAGTGGTTACACAATCTATTTATTGAACATATCCATGACCTGAAGGGGAACAATAGTCATTTGCGCACAAGTTTAAACAAAGAAACGAAAAAAAAAAATTAAAAAAAAAAAAAAAAGAAAATCAAGCGAACAAAAAAGTCTGCATTACATTCCTCCATAACATTGTGGTTTGTCGCCATTGCCAAGAATTGAAAATATAAAAAATTAAAAAAAAAAAGAATAAAATTGCATGCTGCTTCAATTGTGAATTAATGATAAACTGTCCTCTTTCAGAAAAATAAATTGAACCAAAACATTCTGTTTACATTTTAGACAGTAAGTATCTTTAGTCTGTTAGTATATATGTTTACTGCTTCTAACTTCTGATAGCGTTGAAATTAAAACAATGTCAAGGTGCTGTTGTCATAGTTTTACTGTTTCTCTTTTACTTTTGAACTCCCATCAGATTGAAAAACAAAAAAATCATTACCTTATTCTGGATTAGAAAAAAATTTGGTTTTTGTATGTTGTGAAGGTGTTTGCAATAGCAGTCCGACTACTGACAAAAATAATAAAAAGAGGCAACTGAAAAAGAATGGTGATGTTCCACTTCACATTGTTGAACTTCAGGCTTAAAGACAACACTTATTTAACTGTATGGCAACATGCTTTTTTGGTTGTTGGGGGGGTGGTTTGTTGTTGTTGGGTTTTTCTTTTTTTTTTTTTTGGCTTTCTTTTTCAATTTTCAGTCTTTTGAGACATGCATTTGCTTATACCATGTTTGCTTGTGTTTGAGAATTTTTTTTCCCCTTTTCTCCCTCTGGAGGGACATTGGTTGTGATCTTCAAGTATTTCACTTACCATAGAACTGGAGCTTGTCATATAGAGAATATTCTATAGTGTTCAGAGCAATTATTTCCTATAATAAAAGACTGTGCTTGGATCAAAGGTCTTGGTGAAGCACGGTGAGAGTGTCACTAGAAAAAGGGTGTAGGAAAGAGGATGGAGGGTCTGAAATCAGGCTGGTTGTGGGACTTTATAGCTCAGCCAGTTTGGGAAGAAATGACAGTGCTTTGGGTTGGCTGAGGCTGTCCCAGTTGCAGTCATTACTGAACATGCATCACGTTAGAGAGCAGAGCTTGGCCATGTGCGTGGATGCCCTTCCCCTGCAGAGCTGGTGGGCAAACTCTGGGGCATCTGTGCCTGAAGGAGCCCTGGAAACCAGCTTGGGAATGGGACAGAGAGGAGCTGCTTCCAGCAGAAAGAAATTGGCATTGTGTTCATGTGGCTCCACCTCTGCCAGCAGGCTTACCTTGTGAAACAAATACTGCCACTAAAAATCCACTCTGGAAGCAAATCAGGAGCAAGTGCTGGAGGAGCTGGCTTAGCTTGCTTAGGTCTGAGGGATGTGTGCTCACTGTGTGCTCCCCCTCTGCTGACAGAAGTACTGCTAAGAAGGCAGGTTGTGAGGCTGAGCTGTGCACAGCATGCTGGCCACAGTGGGCTGAGCACTGAAATAGCTCCTTAGAAAGCTCACTGGAGGCTCAGGCTATATTTGTAGTTCCTGGAGATAAAAAATAGCTGAAGAGGTAGGAGAATACTGCAAAATATAATCTGCTTCTGAATGCTGTAGAATCTGTGTTTATTAAAACTCTGACTGGGCAAAGCTTACAGAAATATGTTTGCCCCAGGAATGCTCTTTGAAGAGTATATTTAAAACTGATTTTGTGTCATCACTGGTAGAAACCCATGCTGGAAGCTAACAGACACTTGACATCAGTGATTTCTTCTGCTTTGGGTAGAAGGGCAGCCCCTTCCTGAGGGTAACTGCCTGTCAAAGTGCCAGTGGCCAGACTGTGAGTGAGAAGAGAGGGTTGTGTGACCCACCTGAGCTTCAAACTTCAGCCTTCCCCATGGATTGCTGATGGGCATTTCCCACACAGGAAAAAAAAAACAAAAAACCCTTATTGAAATTCTCAAAACTTCATCTCAGATACTCTTCATGCAAATTAAATCATAGTATCAAAGACTGTTTTGTGTTGGAAGGGACCTTAAAGATCCCTTTTATCATGGGCAGGTCCACCTTCCACCTGAGCATGTCACTGCCCTGGGGCCACACCTGTGTGTGTGTTGTAATTGGCATTGGGTGAAGCCAGCGTGGCTCAGGAGCTGCTCTCAGCAGCACTGCTCACCTGCAGCAGAGAAGTGCTCTGATGCTGGCTCCTCTCAAAACAAGGGCTGGCTGCTGGGAAGGAAAGGATGGTGCTGATGTGGGAGCAACAAACAAATCACTCAGCTAGACTGCAAGGGGTAGCTAGGATCTGACAGGAATCCAATAACTGCCAGTTCAAAGAAACTTCCAAAAGAGAAGCGTTAGTGCCCAAATCATGCTAGAAGTAAAGCTCCTTACTTCTCAGAGTTAACTGTGGCTATATCCTTTGCTTGTAAATGCTCAGCTGGCACAGTGAGGGTGGTGCAGGTGTGGCAGAATGAGAGGAGTGGGATGGTGGCTTCAGAGGGATGAAGGACATCCCGTGGAGCTGGAGGCCCAGAGAGCTGTGCCTGGTACCTACACCAGAGTGACATAGAGATTGTAGAGATGTGATTGAGAAGGTGCCAGCTCTGTGCTCAGTAACTGATCAATAATTGATATTATTGATACTATTGACATTATTGATATTGGCAATTAACCTGGAGAACTGTGCCTGGTACCTACACCAGAGCGATATTCCCCTGAACATGCCAGCTCTGTGCTCAGTAACTGATCAATAATTGATATTATTGATATTATTGATACTGATATTGGCAAAGAACTGTGCCTGGTACCTACACCAGAGTGATATTCACCAGAACATGCCAGCTCTGTGCTCAGTAACTGATCAATAATTGATATTATTGATATTATTGATACTGATATTGGCAAAGAACTGTGCCCGGTACCTACGCCAGAGCGATACTCCCCAGAACATGCCAGCTCTGTGCTCAGTAACTGATCAATAATTGATATTATTGATACTGATATTGGCAAAGAACTGTGCCTGGTACCTACACCAGAGTGATACTCCCCAGAACATGCCAGCTCTGTGCTCAGTAACTGATCAATAATTGATATTATTGATATTATTGATACTGATATTGTGCCTGGTACCTACACCAGAGCGATATTCCCCAGAACATGCCAGCTCTGTGCTCAGTAACTGATCAATAATTGATATTATTGATATTATTGATACTGATATTGGCAAAGAACTGTGCCTGGCACCCACACCAGAGTGATACTCCCCAGAACATGCCAGCTCTGTGCTCAGTAATTGATATTATTGATATTGGCAATTAACCTGCAATAGTGATTGATATTATTGATACTGGCAATTAAGCTGCAGCCCCACAGCTCTGACATTAGACATCCATGCTCACAGGCTGGGCAGTTTTAGTTAACACAGAGACAGAGAGGGGAGGGTTGGTTTTCCTTCACATCACTTCATTAAGCTCTTAATTAAACTTCATTAACTCTTGCTGTGGTCTGTTGGTGACAGAAGTATTCCATGCATGTCAGCAGGCCTAGTGCTGTGTTAAAGGACTCTTGCAACTGTAAGTTCATGTCTGTGGCCTTGTTCTCTATTATTCATCTTGTGTAACATAAATATTTATTGTATATTTATATAATTTTATGGTTTTTTGGGAAAATACTGAAATTGGCATTAAAATTTAAAAGCAACTGCGTCATATTGTAAATATAATTGAGCTATATTTAAGTGTACTGATTAACATAATATATGTTTAACTAGAGTTTTTTATGTTTTTAAATATATTTTCGAAATACATATATATATATATAAAATGGGGTTTTTTGGGGGACCATGTGACTTTTCTCTAATTGTAAAACAAACTTGAGTTTTACTATAAATATGTGTGTTCTTTGTTTTAAAACAATTTTTACTCTATTTTAGCAATAAAATCTCACTCGGAGGGCAGGTAGCCCCCTGTTTCATAGTTAGCATTGGGAGGGGAGGGATAGCAAGAATTTACTTCACATGAAAGCTGGGGATGCTTGCAGGATGATGCATTTCCATTTAATTCCAGCACAAAAGTCCTCATGAACTAAAAGCCCATGAATGACATATATATGGTTTTACTCAAGTATAAAATAAAGAGCATAAGGGGGAGGGAGTTTCTACCCTTAATAGCTAAGGGGTAAGTGTCACATAAACTCAATAGCTACAGTCATGTACCTGATTTTTAAATGGTTATTTTTAAATTTATATTTATATATTTAAAATTTATATTTATATCCCCTGCACTGATTTATGACCCTAAAGAGTGCTAGGAGCGGGATTCCTCGGATTTAACACCTTGTTAGCATTTCTAAAATAATCTCTACAACTGCCAAGCCTGTACATTTAGTTATCCCAGAGACCTTTAATAATCAATAAATCCTCATGAGGAGTAGAAAACTTGCACATAACTTATGGAGGGGGGGTGGGGGGAAGCACAAACCCACACTCTCCCCCAAAAACCTATTGCTGCAGATTTTTCAGGAGCCCAGTACCAGCAATATCTCACAAAAAACTGAGGGAATTATTCTTCTGCAGATGGTCACTGGTATGAAACACACCTGCATGCACATTACTTTTTTATTGTCACCCTGACATGGATGCTGCAGCCCTTGGGGTGTGGATGGGCAGAGCTGCCTTTTGGCCATGCCATGTGCCTGCCCCTGCCTGGACCCTGCCTCCTTCCTGAGGCAGCACAGAGAATTTGCTTCAGCAATTAAAATATTGTGTCGATGGTCTGACATGGGTGCCCAGGGGATGGAATGCACACACTCAAAATGCAGATTTGAGCTGCACAGGAAGGTACAGGTGCTAACCATACAGCCAGCCACTCTCTACTGAGTCCTAGCTCTGGAGGGGAAAACAAAGGAATTTCCCATGGATTGCTGACCTGGAGAAGACCAAAAAAAAAAAAAAATCCATAGCTAGACTTTAAAATTACTCAGCAAAAAAAAATAATAGAAAGCAATAAAAGGTATTTGAAGAGAAGTGAAGGCTCCACTGAAGTGTAATGAGGGGGGGGGGGGAGGATGTTTATTTCAGTTTGTCCCAG